AAACCGTCAGCGACAAGAGTTTCTGTTTATAGCCGGCATGGCCTTAGGGGATATTACATATAGCATTGGTTTCTTTCTCTTCACCTGCAGACGTTTGGAGTATTTTCGTCCAATTCGAGAACGTCTGTCCTTTCTTAATCAAGCTTGGTATGTTCATTGCATATCTTTCAGTGAACTATGCGCTCACTCGAAAAGAATGCTCGAAAGCTTTGTCACCTTTATTGCTTTTCTTTGGAAACGTTTTAGTTGGGAATATGAACATCATTAACGCCATCGATAGATTTCTTGCGACATTCGCCCCTCTATGGTATTATCAACAGACAACTTTGCATACAATTCGCTTGATAACAAGTATGAACAATTTCATATGAGGTACAAACAGATGAATGTTTAAGTTTCCATAGCGTTGGCCTTAGTATTGTCTGTGTTGAACGTGACGTTGATTCTGTCATCAGATGAGGTGTCGAACAGTACCGTCAGTGTAGATTGCGCTGACTTTGCTCATCCACAATTTGGCTCATTGTGTGCTTATTATCAATACTTATGTATTCTATTATCAGCTTTGATATATGTGGCAATAGGAATAGCAGTTCGTCGGGTATATCCCTTCCATCCCTTTTCAGTGAATAAATTATTTTAATTGATATAGAGATATAAACGAGCTCAGAAATCATCAATAGCAGCGAAGCAAGTCTCTACGAAGCGCCTTGTGAGAAGCAGCACAACAATGGGTTGCTTCCCTTTCATATAATATATTTATAACTACATACCTTTAAGCTTTGATCTTATTAAACACTTTATTATTTCTCTTCTTACCTCAAGTTCTATTAGATTTACGAATTGCCAGTCAGCAACATCAGATTATCTTCTTTTTCTTAGTTTTACTCAAGGTTTTTAAGCTTCTTCATCATCCTAATCACATTCACTTGCTTCCAGACTGTTTTGAATTTTCTGATCTTCGTAAGTCGACACGAGGAGCTTCGTTCATTCATAATTGGCGGAAACTTCATCTAAATTGATTTTTTTCTATTTTAAATAAATTTTCTCTGTAAAAAAAGTGTTTCGCAACCGCTCTATCAGTGTTTGCTGTTGAAATGCGTGAGATAGCATAGTTCACTCACGTCATCTCTTCACGTAGTTCACGTAAAATGCTCACTTATGAAGTCAACTATGAGTAAGTAGGTGATAGAATTAGCATAGCCATTGATAGTACATCCCACGTCTTTACGTGAGTTTTAAAATTCATTATACACACATATATACAGAAATTCAACTTCACTGGATGCCACCTCGGTTTTCGACCTTTGGGCGAGCTGCTTCTGTTATTCAAGTTGCTCGATATAGCGGCGGAGCTCTTCAAAATAGGTTTTGGCTTTCTCGATGGAACTGCTGAAAGGAAAAGGTTTCATTGAAAGATATCAGAAGAAGCATCTAGTTACCGATTGTCTTTATACATCTTCAATATTCTGTCAGAGATCTCCATCATACGAGCAGAGTTCTCTCTGTATTCTTCTTGAGCAGCCACTCGTTCTTCCTCTGCTTCATTCACTCGTCTAGTGTGGTGGTTGAAAACCTGAAAAAGATAATGTAAAAGGGGGAAGTGGATTCCTTTCTTCTGTTCACGGACAAGCAAATAGTACAAACTGTGACTTTTTGAGACAAAACAACAACAAACCTCTAAGCGTTCAGTTTGCACTGAACCGTTCGTTCTCGACAAACTGTCTTGTGTTAAGTTCACTTGAGTCTTAGCCACTTCCAACATCAACATTGCTTTTTCATTCCGGATAATTGATCTGTATAAATCCTCGGCAATTTTTTCTTCCTGAAGAAATGGAAATAAAGTGAGGTATATCAAGTTCTGAACCAGCAAATCAACAAAAAAGGAGGGCAATCGGCGTACAAGTAACAGTTCAATTACCTCAAGCTTCGCTTCATAATACGGCTTAGCCTTCTCGATGGCGGATTTGTATTTCTTGGAGAGATCTTTCTTTTTCTTCGTCCACAAGGCGTTCTGTTCTCTAAAAGATGAAAGTCACTACAGGGACTAGTAGAGCTCCTGGGGTTCATTGGAAAAGATACACAAGACTTGCCTAATTTCTGCTCGTGCTAATTCCAAGTATGCTTCCATCTTGTTTATAACATCAGTATCTATGTTCAACTTCTCCAACTCTTCGTGAATTAGGTTGGGATGTTTCTGATCCAACGTCCTAGAAGATACAAATTTATTTCAAATAGAGTCGATCTCAGAAGAGTCGAGCTGCTTGCTCACTTGCTTACATGATTTTCTATAGAATTTCGTAAGCTTCAACTAGTCTTCACAAAACA